ATTCTAACTTCGATAGCAGAATGGTGTTACTAATAAGGAATTCCTCCTTTTGTCAATTTCAATTCAATAATGAAGTTTCTACTTATTTCCATTAAATGACTTCAGTTGTATGATCCGGCATATTGGCATAGCAGCCCAAAGCCATCTATTGCGCAGCGAATGCATCAAGCCCTATTGAAAACATCCATGGAAAACGAACCGCACATTGGTAATCAGTCGGAGGTTAGATTTCTTATTTCGACATTTCTGTAAATTAATGTTGCGGTATCTAGTGAATATGTCAGATAAATCATTGCTCACCATTTCACGAAATTTAATAACTCGTGTGAATAAAGTTAAAAAATATGTTGCTAGGAAGCACAATGGAATCCACCGCTTGAAAACTGCGAATTAATTAATTACTGTAGATAGTTCCTGAAATCAACTACCAAAATTGCGATCCGGTGGAAATTTATAAATAAGCTGAATTACTGTTGGTCCTGCATTCTTCATTGCAATTATTTTTGTAGAAAAAGTGAGGAATTGAAGAGAGGGCAGCAATGTCGGTCAAACTAGCTCACATTTGAAGTTTACACAAATGTGAAAACTGTGTTTTAGATAAGCGTTGAAAATGGACAATTAACCAACGAACAAATAGCGGAAACAGTTAAGAACGAAAATGGCATTAATTTCGTTTTACCTGATGGAGAAGCATATCGCAATCTGTTGATGGAAGCCCGGACGAGCTTGCAACTGCTTTGTGACCAAGCTAAAAATGATCTTTTAAATGGTGTTCAAATTATACAATTCGTTCTAATCTGATACTCATTAGTGTGTACTGATTTTCACGACATTTTTTGCGTTTTTCTTTTCAAACATTGCCACATTGTTATCGTTTTTCTCTTTTTCCAGAAGAAGATATACCGGAGCATGCTGCAGGAACGCTTAGAACTGCAGTTGGGAAAGCAAATCTTCTGTTAGACAAAAAAATGGCGAAGTTCGAAGATCTGGTGAAGAATCATCTGGTTACTATTTCTTTAGATTTATAGTTTTTATTTTTTTCTCTTTCAAGTTGAAGTTATAATTTTCAAAACCATAATTTCAAATCCATTTTCAAGGGATCTAAATGACACCGAAATACCTATTTATTATTGACTTGAGGGCTATCTCTCTTACAGAAAGTTTTTACAATAATTTTTTGATTTTTTGTATTTTTTGCAATTAAAATAATTTTTTTGCAATTTCTACTAAAAAATTTTTGTGAGGCAGATAATCTTAAAATTAAAAACAGGTATTTAGCAGTAAATAATACATTTTGCTATGTTATGCTTTTCCCATATGCTGGTATAACCATCTTTCAGGATCAAAATTCAAATGTACAGCAGGTAAAGCTGAGCGACCTTTCCGGTTACTGGGCGCTGATCAGTATTGAGTTGAAAGAACTGGAGACTAACTTCCGTGAAATCAGTTTTCTTCGTGAAAATCACTGGATGCTACCGGAATCAGAACTCTCTTCACTAAGGTAGCTACCTTTTGCTTTAACTGAGTTGAAATTGTTGCATGTGGAAGATTTTCCAAAGCGGTAAAATTCAGATAAAATTTGACTGTTTTAATCATGGTTAGAATGCCATTTTTTGAGCTACATTTCCCAAGCCCCAAGTCAAACATCAGTTTCGAAATTTATGAAAAATGAGGAAAAAACAAAAAAAAGCCTTCCTTCTAAGATTCGACTTATACTTCTATAGGAGGATAGATTTTTCCTTATCATGATGATCAAAATAAGTTTGATCTGGAATTCATCCCATTTTCAGCACTGTCGGTGAAAATCGTGGCGCCGGTATAAAGAAAGTGCAATCCCATTTACCAGTGATAAATAGTGGAAAAGTAGCGTTTGAAGTTCAACGCCGACAAATAGCTTTGGCCGCGGCGAAACGACGTCAGAAGAAGTTGAAGAAAGCCGAAGAAGAGCAGCATGTTGAGCATGACGATGATGGTAATGCACATATGGCTATCTGATCGCTCAACAACTGCGATTATTTTTTTTCTTTAATAATTTTTTTGTTTGTTATTGCTCACCTCTTCTCTTGCATAATGATGGGCAGTTATCGGTTAATTATTTTCGTTAATTATTTATGAATTGATGGTGCTCAAAATAAGCATAAGTTCATATTTACAACTGAACTTGGAACTGTAAAAGATAATTAGTGTTACATTTGAATCTGTTGTGTTTGAATCTCAAATCCTGAATGTTTTGCAAAATGGTCCGTTGTTTTTGTTTGCTTCATATTAACTGCTCATTCCTTCTCATCACTTAAGCTTGACGTGACGTTTAATAATTGCATAATTATTCAAGCACAAATTAGTGAGTATGCTTGCATGAATGAT